TCAATTTTTTTTTTTTTTTTTTTTTTTGTCTTTTTTTTTTCACTCTTGAGGGAATTTTTTGACCACTAGCTTTTACATTTGAAGGTTAAAAACATGGATTTTTACTGTGATGTACTTGTTGATCGATCAAATCTTATTGAATAAATTTAAATTCACCTTTTTTATATTTTTTATTTTTTACCATATGTAGAGCTTAAGAATGTCATTTGCTTAATTTTTCTTGGGGTTTGAATCCTATTCTTATTCCCTTACTTTTACTCTCAAACATCTGGTCGACAACTTTAAAATTAATAAAATTATTTGAGTTTCTTTTTTCTCATTTTTTGAATTATTTAATAGAAACCTAATGTAGGCTAAAGTGTTTGTAAAAAGTTCCAATTCAACTACGAGTAAAGAGATTCAAATCATTTGATTTCTTGATCGAGAGTATACGATTTAGCCCCTTAAGCTAAACCCAAATTAAGATTGAGATTCAAATCTTTGTGAGATCTCATATCGGTTGAAGAGGAAAATGAAGTATTATTTATAAGAGTGTGAAAAACTTCTCACTCCCTTGAGGAGAAGCCCGAAAAAGAAAGCCCAACGATGATAAAGAGCTGCTACAAATGGTATCAGAGCTAGATACCTCGTGATGTGCCAGGTTGAACCTAGAAAGAGGGTGGACATGAGATGGTGTGCCAATAAGGACGCTGGGCCCTGAATGGGGTAGATTGGGGAGTCCAACATCGATTAGAGATTAGAGAAGGGAATGAGTGCCAACAAGGATGCTGGGTCGCAAAGAGGGATGGATTGTAAGATCCCACATCGATTGGAGAAAGAAACGAGTGTCAGTGAAGATGCTAGACCCTGAAGAGGGGTAGATTGTGAGATCGCACATCGATTTGGAGGAGAATGAAATATTCTTTATAAGGATGTGGAAACTTTTCCCTAGTGATAGGTCTGAACTGTTACATTACTAGTACATCATTAAATTTAGAATCTATTAGTACCGGAATAAAGAACACCAATCTTTCCAGAAACTGTAGACATCCATTTGTTATCAGATAAGTCTTGTCATTGGAGTAAGAAACTACAATATCACTATCAGAAAATGATGAAAGTTCAAATTTTCCAGATCAGAGGTGTTCACATTCATAGGAAGAAAACAAAAAGGGAAGTCATGTCATGAAGCCTGGGTTGATGACACTTATATATCAGCTGATTAATTCACATTACCACTTCCCTTTCAAATCAATGTCACATGAAATCTCCAGTGTACCCATTGGTGATGATGTTAATCATGCAAGAATCAATCATGTTCAAAAGCTGTAAAATGCACACCTCTTTCAGTTCCGTATATTTATTGCATACACACCACACAAGCTTTACAACCTCGGCAATTAGATCTCACATATCCTAGCAAAATTGGAAAAGTTAATATAATCCATAGTAAGATTCCACATCAATTTGAGAGATGAACGAAACATTATTTACAAGGGCGTGAAAATCTCTTATTAACAGATGCGTTTTAAAATCTTAATGGGAAGCCAATAAGGAAAAGCCCAAATGGAACAATATTTGCTAGCGGTAGGATTGGGCTGTTACAAATGGTATCAGAGCTAGACACCGGACAATGTACCAATAAGGAGGCTGAATCCCAAAGGGGGTGGACACCAGATGATGTGCTAGCGAGGACGCTGGGCCCCAAAAGGGGTGGATTGGGGGGTACCACATTGATTGGAAAGGGAACGAGTGTCAATGAGTATGTCGGGTGTCTCAGTCATGCTTGTCCAATGCGTGTTGTCCATGGTCGCATGTCCGTTATATGCCGAAACCCTTACCTTATACTACTTTACCGCTTTCTTTTACTTCTTTCAGGTGGTATTATTTCCTTCTTATTTTCTTTAAGAGTATGACATTTTGGCGAAATCATGGCTATGCTTGATAGACATGAAATACCTCAAAATGTACTATGTGGAGATGTGACTAGTTGTCAAATTCTCCCTAAAAAGTTATATGCTGTTTTTAAGCCGTCGTTGTTGCCTTTTTACTTCCATGCTATATAACACCACTCTCAATCTCTCTATCACTCTTGCTTTCAAAACTCTTTTTCCAAAATCTCTCCTCCGTTTTCTAAAACTTTCTTTTCAAATTAGGACCCAAGGCTTGAATATACATTGTCCAACTGTAGGCAACGTGATCCAAAGTTGGCTTGACTCACCCAATGCTGAGAGTGAGTGCTGTACAATCGCCAAATCCGCTGCCAAGAAAAGGCAATTGTGACACTAGCCTCAGAGAGAGTGGATTATGAAGGCCCACATCAATTAAATAGAGGAACGGAACATTCTTTTTAAGTGTGTGGAAACTCTCCCTAGCAGAAGGGTTTTAAAACAGGAAGCTGGAAACGGAAATCTGTGGCTTTGGGCCATTACACCCATCATCCCCAATCCAAACCCATCATCCTCAATCCAAACTTATCACTTGGGTAAAAATAGATCTAGAGACAGCGAAAAGATGGGGTGGGGTTTTTTTTTTTTCATTTTTTTAAAACCTGGAAAGAAAATGCAGGATTTTTTTTTTCCTAAAATGGCATCGAGCATCTATTACCATGTAACTGACAGGATAAAGATAGGGGGGAGAGAGAGAGCCAAAGGGTAAAAACAGCGATGAACAATCTGGCCATGCCATGAGAGGTTCTGTTTGGCATGGAACAAACACGTGAAATTTCAACCAGTTAAGTCGGCTGAAAAAAAGTAAATGGGTTGAAGACAGGCAGTTGTCTGGATTCTTGGTTGGTATTGTGTCTGTTTCATTCTGAATTAGCAACAAAATCATAAGCCTGGCGTATATATATTGCTGCAAACCCATCTCTTTCCATCCCAAGATAACCTCATCTTTATTTTAGCAGACAAGGTCAAGAAATGAAATACTCACATTTTATTCAATGTTTCCTGCTCTTTACTGCCCTCTTCTATCTTCTTTCAGTGGATCCCTTTCATTCTCATCCTCAGACTTTCGCCTCTGAAGGAAGACCTGCAAGGAAGTACCTTGATACATCATTTTCCAACCCAGAACATGAATATCACAGAGTCAAGGTATGCTAAATTAATACTAACTTCTTTGATTTTGGCTTGTGGAATGGATTCCGCCACCCTAACATATGGATATTCCAAAATGCAGGATCATAAAGAAGAAATTTCCTCCAACACACATGAATATGAAAAAAGTATCGACGGTGCGGATGAACTTGTCTACCATATTGACTATAATGGGCCGAAAACGCATCCGAATCCGCCCGATCATCCATAGGCACACATTTTTTCTGTATAATCTATCAAATGCTCTGTTTTATTCATGTAACAATTATGTTACAATTCTATATACAAACTATTAAATGTCATGTGCTATGATCACAATAAGCACTTAAATGTGAACTCAACTACCATAGATCTTTGCGCAACCTGGAACTAGCAATGCAATAATTACAACTAATTTTAGGCTTTTACAAGTGATCTATGACGAGAATTAGTTTTGACATGAACACGAAATCATAAAAAAGCTCAAACGTAAAACGATTGTGATCATTATTACTTTCTTGGTTAAGACTCATCGTCTGTACAGAATTAAATGATCATATGAAGGTTCTCACTATAAAACACTTGTATGAACACAAATAGCTGTCTGATTAACTCCCAGGGGTCCTCAAATTTGAAGTCCAATTTTAGGAGGACAAAAAAAAAAAGGAGAATCCAACATGCATTATGGGCATTTGAACACAAATAACAATTAGAAGCATTGGGTCCAAAAAGCTGCTTGTGTCCCATGGAAACACCACAAGGTTCCATACTTTACTAAAAGCATGTTGGTCACAGCACATGACTTGCTCCCTAGAATGAAATCCGCATATTGACCTTTAATTGTTTAACCTTTCAAAACTTCATGCTAGTAACAGTCCAGACTTTTACGTTCTACATATAAGCCCCAAAAATATCATACCTTTTAACGTTGGCCCCTAAGGGGTGGATAGATCCTACATCGGTTGGAGAGGAAAACAAAACATTCCTTATAAATGTGTGAAAACTCTCTCTAACATACACATTTTTTAACTGTAAGGCTAACGGCGATACGTAACGGACCAAAACGGACAATATCTTATGGCAATACAAACACACAATGATCACCATATTGACTAGCCAAACCCAGAGAACCTGGAGGTGTCAAGTACATATCAGTACCTACAGATGGTTGACCAAACAGAGATGCTATAGCATTTGCAGTAGCAAAAATCTTCTTATACAGAAATTCCATGCCACACAGATCAATTGTATAACCTTGTTTAAAAATTTCTTCACATTTTCATGCATAACTTAACTTTAAGCCTGCATAAACGCAGATCTAGTAGATATTAAGTCCAGATATCCAAGAAAATACCCTGAGCTTGTATAGATGTTAGATTGATTCAACTATCATTCGCTGCACAAACCACCACACCATCGAATTGTATGTCGTATTAATCACAAAGTTCTTTCAGTCATACTCTTTTCGTTTGGAATTGCAAAGATACAGAGTACAAAAGCAAAATCAAGAACATAATTAAGTTCATATTTAAACCGATTTCACCGTATGAGACAAATTAAAAAGGAAATCCAGAATTAGAGTCGACATCTATAAATACTTACATAAGACACTCAATGGGAGAGACCTCTACCACCCAATCAACGCGGTGGACAAATCCATAACAGCGGTACAAGCAGCCAACGCAACTCTTCTCTTCGAATACGCAAAGGTCGCGATCAAATCTCTCACAACCGCATCATTCGAAGCAATCAGTTCATTCATACAGAGCGATATGATCGAACGAGAAGCGATTCCTGTGCGCCTGAAATGGGAAAACAAAGACAGTCAAAATTAAGAACCAACGAAAGAGTTAAATCCAAGGGCAGGTAAACGCATAGAAAGAGATGGGTTACTCTGGAGGGATGGAGACGGCGGCGAGAAGAAGAGATAGAGAGTGGTAATGACATTGAAGTTGGATTGGGATTTTGATCGTCTCTTTCGTTAGGTTTTGGAAGTAGAGAAATGGCTATGGCTACAAAGCTTCCTCTGCGCCTCCATTGACGCACCCTGTGATTGAATGAATTGCGAATTCCTTCAGCACAGAGTGACTGGTCTTTATATACAAACACCTTCTCGCGCGCAGCTCAGTTTCAGTACAAATTTAAAGATAATATCCTAAAATTCTCTCTTTTCTTTTACTTTTTATATTATAATTTATAATTTAACTAAGAAAATAGAATATTGTAAAAATCTCTCTTTTTTTCATCTTCTTATATTTGTTACATGAATTTTAGTTTGATTTTCAAATTAGTCCCTTAATTTTTGTTAACTAATGATTTTGGTATTGTCAATGATTTAAATCAATCTTTTTTTTTTTTTAATAAAAGGTTTAAATCTAACTCCAAAAAACATAGATTTATTAATATCAAAATCAAATAGGTTAAGTGTTAGTTCCAACTTAGAAATTATTTCTTTTTTCATTTTAGAAAAAATTAATAAATATGTAAAACTCCAAATATACCTATGGTTTAAAAGTGAAATCTTTGTAATGTACTAATAAATGAATGCTCAACTGGCATACATACTGCTATGGACTACCCGCATAGTGACAGAGTGTCCCAGCCCCTGGATTCATGGCCTCAATACCAGTGGTCTCAAAATTGACTGAAAATGGGATTCTTGCTTGAAAATTAAAAGACAGAGAATTCCAAATGACTCCATTTAAATTTCAATGAGAACCCTTTTCCAGTCCAAATGCCTCGGTGCATCAAATTTGTACTGCATTCAATGGTTTAGGAAAGACCAACCCCCCCAATGAGATACTTAACTCCTCCAACCACCTTCCAGATGCATCTAAACATGGGGGCAGGCATATTATTGAAACAACTACGATAATAAATTTGATTGACAATAACACAAAACTAACCCATTGAAGTGTGTAATTAATTCTAGCAGATACTTAACTCCCAATACTTTTGGTACAGATTCTTTACGAAGCTCCTTCCTTACATTGATCTAGCGGATGGCTTTTACTAAAGGATTAAGAGAACACAGAGGCTAAAGAATGGGTATCTCCAACACTCGAAAGGAGACTTGATCAGGAAACACTCGATATCGACCATGTCGAATGATAGAAAAGGGATATGCTTCATTCTCACTATCATCATCAAGAATGGCCTAGTTAATTGAACAGCACAATCCAACCGTATATGATCTACATCCTCTACTCCTTGAAATAAATAATGCACTAATGAATGTGTGAGAAGTGCCTACATCAAATGTGAGCAATGAGGTTAAGAAGGGAGGGGTTAGATCGCATCAAAAGCTCCACCATCAGAAATCCCTAAAAATTGATTCTAAAGATAAAAAGATCCTACAAGCTAACGCCATCAAGGAGAACTTTATAAGGCTATAGACAGGCTATTTTTCTTCAAACAACAAAGCACATCAGCAATTTTGAAGGCTATAGACTTCAAAATAAAGCACTAAACCATTATTCTTGTACTAAGAAAACTAAATATCCAGGAGAATAGCTAAACCAACCCTCATGTAGGCCTGCTGCATGGAGAGTCGTGGATGGGCAATTTCGCCAAACAAGAACAGTGATTTCTACCAACTGATATCCTGAGTGAGTTTGTGTTTGTCCTGTCCTACAAAGGAAGCATTATTGAAATTTGATCAATCTTTTCGGAAAAGATAAGCAAAAACTCAAATAAGAGGGAAAAGAAAATGATTATGGTTTATGTTCTCAATCTATGACGACACCTAACTGCAACTGCATCCTCCATGCTCGCTCTTTTAGCACCAACATGCTCAAGTTAATTCAAGAGAAAGCCCAAAGATACCTGACCCAGGGGTTTCTAACCATCAAGAACATCAGGATGGAAAATAAGATGTTTGTATAATCGAACTAGCTTCCAATGCTTTCGTCCACGATTTTACTAGACTGAGGTTGTTTGTCCCAATTCATCTCAGCTCACCTCAAGGTCATCCAATAGTATAGCTAAATTTCCTTAGTATTTCAGTCTTGTACAAATCAGAAAATAATGGAACACAAAAGATCTAGAAACGTCTAGTTTAAAGGGGGAAAAAATGTCGGTAACTGAAGAATGAGAATATTTCCCAAGGACACAACTTGGGCTTCTAATTACCATTGTCTTCATATTCTTTTCATGCCAACAAGTCCTTTCACAAAAACAATAGACTTCTCGCAACATGCATATTACTCTACAAAGTGTCTCAAAGACCAAGAAAATAAACACAATAAATATAATGCTAAGCTCATTCATCAATCAATAAGGGGCCAAGCAATGGGCAGCGACAAAGGGACAGCATTCTGGATGCCAAAGAATCAACTAATTTCCAGAAGATAGATATCAAACTGATATAAAATTCATCAAAAAACAAGAATAAAGTTGAAGTGCATTTAGAAAATGGATACCTCTTTAATATTTCTAAAGCTCCTGGAGAGACTTGAATCTGGCTAGATAAATTGAAATCTTCGTTTTTTTTTTTCACATTATAGACTCGAATTTGTTCAAATCAACAATCAAACTAGAGCAAGAAAGTAATGAAACTTCAGATTATATAGATAAAATACTCGATTATACTCTGAAATTCACCATGTATATTGCAACGCTTGTAGGAACGACCACTAGGAAGTAAAGCTTGAAGAAGAATAACTATGTCGATAATGCACAACTCAAATTCACATACAATCCTTCACACTTCATCGATAGTAAACGGATAGTGTTAGTTGTAGTCAAAGGAGAAGCGGGAGGGGGAACAGCGTAGACAGTGAGGAAATCGGGAGAAGAAAATATGTACAAGAGTAGAGAAGTGGTTGGACTTGGAGGATTTAGACAGGCGGTATGTTGGAGAAGGAGAAACCCTTGTAACCCTTGTACGCATAGTAAGCAATCCGCGTGTAATAGAAACCCGGAATAAACAAGAGAGCTCCCAACAACGAGAAGAACACCCCTGAAAATCATCAAGAACAAAGAAAAACTTATTAACATTCGGACTAGGGCAAAATTAGAAGAAGAACACAAACCAGACAAAAAAAAAAATACCGTGAGCACGATCACCACCGACTCGATTACTGGCCATGAAGATTCCAACAATGATTCCAATCATTCCAAAAAAGAGAAGAGAAACAGCAAGAGCGATCTCCTTGATAGGAGGCCGATTGTTGACGGTAAAGGGAGAATCCATCATAATGTCTTCGTCTGTTATCGAAAACGCATGGTCCACGTAAGCCATCTTTCTCTGTAATAAACGGAGATCTAGGGATGAAGGAAGAAGAAGGTGTTGAAGCTTGGATCCGCAGAAAAATAGGTGCCGGGATTTGGTAGAGAAATCGGCGGCGACGACGGTGGAATTTTGTTTTTTGAAGCAAAGAGACGCCTACCTGTTTTTGACTCCGCGAGGAGGTGGAGTGAAAAGAAAGGCGAAAACTTCCACGTCGGAGTCAGTAAAACCTTATAATTATATTAATTAATCCTAAATTAGAGTTTAAGTATATATATATATATATAATTATCTTTTTTTTTTTTTTTTTTTTGTCCGATTTGGCCCGATACGAACTCAGGAATTCCTAACCCCACCGACTTTAATCCACAAACTCGACCCACTTCTCGACTCACCCAATTTATCTTTTCTATGGAGTTCCATCCATTGACTATGTGTCGGGATGCTTTACAAGGTTCCTCTTACGATGGAACTTTGAACTTCACTAATAGTTCAACTTTCATAATCCCGTCAATAAAAGGAAATCTACCAATTCCATCATTTTGAAGCTTTTGACCCTACTCGTATTGAAGCTTTAGCAAATCGACCTTCCATGATGAACTTTCTACCTCGGCATTGACCAAGACTTTCTTTTGCTTATTTTTTCTTGATTATGCTTCACAAATTTGAGCTCCTCAACAAATTAATCGATTGCTATGGTTTTGACCTCGCCTCGATCACGGTGGGACCGACCTTGACTTTAATTCTAACTTCTCTAACTATAGCTTTTTGCTACTGTAAGGCTAATGATTTGTTATCGGTTGTTTTGGCTAACTCTACTCTTGTTTTTTTTTTTTTTTTTTGGGTTAAGAGTTTGGTATAAATACCAACCATATCCTTATCCATTAAGGATTTACCTTAGAGAGATCTCAAACAAAGCCTAACCACTCCGTTCCTTTTGCTCCCATCGAACTTCTGAATTAGGTAGGGTTGAGGGTTTATTAGGTTGTGGCTACGTAAAGTACATGTCTACATGGACTCGAACTAACCCAACTTGAACAGTGTCTTTTGACCTAATAGCCTCTTTAATTAGGCCCAATCTTATGGGTTGATAGATGTGAAACAAAGTAATTAATTAAAATAAAAAATTTAATTTAATTCTTAATTCTTGAACTTTTTTCATGGAATCCTCAAACATCAATGATAATATTATGAGATTCATGAATTTAATTAATAAAAATAGTAACATAAATGACCTTAATCATTTCAAATTTGCCAAAAAAAAAAAAAAAGTGAAATGGTTGCTATCTACCAAAATTAAAAAAATGGGAACAATTCTACGGAGGAACAAAACAAAAACATTCTTTAAAAGCGTATGAAACCTCTCCATAATAGAAAGCCCGAAAGTAAAAGCTTAAAGATAACTATATCTACTAACGATGAGCTTGAGCCGTTACAAATGATATCAGAGCTATGTACTGAGTGATATACCAGTAAAGAGGTTGAGTCTCGAAGCAGGGTGGACATGAGACGGTGTGTCAGCAAAAGACACCGGGCCCTGAAGGTGAGTGGATTGGGAGATCCCACAAAACCCGCCAGCAAGGACGCTGGGCCCTAAAAGGGCGTGGATTGGGAGATCCCACAAAACTCATTGCAAACGGTATCAGAGATACACACTGGACAATGTGTCAATAAGGAGATTGAGCCCCAAAGCGGGGTGGACACGAGACGATGTGCCAACAAAGAGCTGGACTTTGAAAAGGGGTGGATTGGGAGATTCTACAAAACCCGTTGCAAAGGGTATGAGAGACACACATTGAGTGATGTGTCAGTGAGGAGACTGAGCCCTAAAGCAGGGTGGACACAAAGCAATGTGACAGCAAGAGAAAAAGTCCAAAAAAACA